ATTGGAGTGCAATAAAAAGTCTAATCACCCATTAAAGACATTATTGTCTCATTGTGTTGAACAGATGTAGAATTCTTAATTCATCAGTCCCCACAATCCATGTTTTGTGCATGGAACTTGTAACAAAAGACATAATACAGCATTTAAACTTACTCAATTGTCCGGAAAAGCAATCTTTATATTCAGTTAAAATTGTTGACTTCGATTGTTTAATCCTCTTCTCTTGTAAATTCTAGAGCAAAAATAAATAGCACCCATAAATGTACTTAACCTTAGACGCATAGTCCCAGAACACACACGAGAGTGTATATCAAAAACCTTCCCATCTATGTGTGGAAATCATTCGCTTGGATTATCGTTTCCTAACATTAGCATGTCAGGGACAATCAAACCGCAAGACATAGTCTTTATCAAGAAGTATATAGAGAGCCTTTTTCCTTAACAACAGAACTAAATAGAAGCAGTAAGTCTAGTTCATTATATTTACCATGATGTAGAAGAGTAGAAGCGAAAGACCAGAGCAAACTCGGGTCCATTCCAATTTAGCAGAAACTTTATAGAGTCCAAAGAGATCAAAAATCCTCCTCAATATCTCTGGGAACTCGACGGGAAGTTGATATATGTAAAGAAGGATGATATTCAAACCAGCATAAAACAGAAGGTACCTCCGCCCCCTTCAAATTCATGTAAAACGTATTTGGTGAGTCTGTCAATTTCTGTTGTGAAAAAAACTAAAAATGTTTTCTGAGGGGGTGCAGGAGGTTCTAACCGAAAGAGGCCCGAGAAATTGCTTGTCAAAGACCAATCAACAAGCCCTATACTGCTGCAAATAAAATAAGGCAAAGAAGCCCAAGATGGGTGACTTATTCCAACAGTTATTTGTATACCGGGCAGCAATAAGAAGGAGAAACCCCTAATATGAGAGCCTGCGAGAAAGAAAACAATACAGCAGCCCAAATCGACATCCATGTTATGACCACTTCATATGAAAAAGGTAATTAATTTGTTACTTTCATTTTACGTGTTTGTGAATTTTTCACTTTACCAACAAAGATATGCGCCTTGATGAATTATTCTTTTGTGTGTGTGTGAATACATGCACATAATATACATGCTTCTATATATGTTTACTTACTACTGGAAGAAAAAAGGAAATTGATAACTGAGTATAATAAATGGTAGATAAACAAAAGAAATACAAAAATTCAAACTATTAGAAGACAAACCTATCAGCAGAACAGAAGAGCATAAATGTCCTGGATGAAAATCTCTCCATCCATCCGAAATATATCTACTTCCATAGATTTCAATTATTGAAGCAAAGACGATCAATATCTGCATAACCAAAAACTTCTCTGTAGGCAAATTCCACCAATACTGCACCCTGCAAATCCATTCCGTATGCTATTTGTTGTGTTTTTAAAACACTGATGCATTGAGGGGCAAAAGTCTATGCTAGAAAGGGGTAAAAAGCAAAAAAGAGGAAGTTCAGGCACCTTCTAAATCCAATTAGCTGCGCCCACTGAGCATTGCTGGTGCTCCATTGGTCACCCTCAATGGCCCAAGCAATATGAAATATGGCATGTGAAAGAAGGATTAAAGAGGAAAATATAAGGACACACCAAGAAATTGAAGAATGTTGACGGAAGCAAGAACCTGTTTGCCAAAAACTTTCAAACATTTATCATGTGAAGAAAAGATAATTAAATTTGCAAATAAAATATTAGAAACGTAATATCCTGCGGGGACAGGCGTATTTAAGGAAACAATCAGTATCCATATAATAATAGCAATAATCCTTGAAAAGATGTATAAGGTTGCTAACTAGAATTTACAACCAAGGAAACTAAATTTCTAGCCAAAGATTAGGACTATGAGCCTATAGCCACTCACATAACCCTTTCCATCCAAAGAAGCACATAAAGTAGTTGCATGCTGTATTATTATTATTATTATTATTATTATTATTATTATTATTATTATTATAACAACAACAGCAGCAACAACAACAATAAATAACAAGAAGAATGGGAGAACTTTTGGACAAATTAACAAGAAGAAAAGCATGGTATGTCCATTTGAAGTGAGCTAATTCCTCCCGGCGTCTAAATTTTACAGCCTATTACTTATTTAGTTTTCATTATTAAAAGATGATAAAATCCAAAAGCCTTGTTAGTTACCGATATATTAACCCTCAGAAAAATTCAATTAGAGAATGTTAAAAAGAAAGGTGCTCGTGTCATCATGAAAGGAACAAGAATTTGAAGAGGAAGGAGGGTAAAAAGGAATTATGGCATGAAAAAAATGAAGTGCATATGCGGGTGAACATCTTACCCCTTCTGATAGCAGTGCACTGAAGGTAAAGAAAGGCTAACAAATCTGCCAAAGATATCAAACTCCAGCTAAGTAAAGCGGCTGCATGGAACAGAAAATATGTCAACTTTTAAGAGAGACAGTTGGGACAAGACAAAGGATACTGTAGAGGCGACTTTATCTAAATTCAAGTTGCCATAATAACTTATTCATGGAAGACTAAGAGTGTAGCTACCGAGACAGTTATGCACAGTCGTAACGACAGAGCTTGCGTAATTAGCCCATTATATGCAAAACCTTTAGAATATACATCTGCATGCACAAATCTGATATCTCTCATGTCAAAGTAAAATTCAAGTGCGAACTTAAAAATACGGAGTTATGAGATCTTAACCCAATATCAAGTTAATGTTTATCCAGCACGAGGCCGAATTCACAAGTCTTGCATCATTAATAGAATGTTAATCCTTAATTTTCTCCAACAGAACACTAGCTGATGAACAGTACAACTTCCTTCCTTGAACTTTTATAGATACATGGATGATGATCATTGATTGACGCCAGCAGGTCTCGCGGTCCATGAGCATCCCGGTATATTACAGTATATTTTCTTTAACTTCATTTAGAACATCCAAAATTGCCAAACCCCTTTTAAACATGTGAATTTAAGTATTTGGTGAATTCCTGCGTGCTATTTCCCGCTCTGTTTTGACTTTTTGAGTACGAGACACTAAGAAGCGCCAGGGATGATATGGCAGAACAAAGGAAGGCCATGGAAATAAGAATGGGACAAAGGCAGACCTATTAGAAGGAACATAGGCAACACGAATCCTGTGAGAAACTTCGCCATGACGATCTGTTCTTAAGAACGAAAACTTGAAAGTCCCAGCCAATATCTTAGTCCGGAGCAACAGGAATCCATTTATAGTGACTACCAACTATGAGAACCCAATCCATGAGCCAAATACTGACGTTATGGAAAAGATTTTCGTCGCTAATGTGATGGAAGTTCCCATGGTGATGAAAATTGGTCATTGGTTGGGTTCATGTCAAAATGATAAACGACACCCATTTGAGAAAACACATAGATCAGTCGCTTTCACAGATGAGGGAGGCAGAGGAATCGCAAGATCAAGGTCAGAAGCTGAAATTTGATGATTGGATGCGGTGGGGAAAATGGCCGATGGAACCAGGCGCGATGATCGGTGTTTAGGAACAATCATTTTGCTTACGTCTTCGGAAATCGTTCTCACCGCTACAAGGGTATTCTTGGTATTCAAAATTTTGACCGTTACCCTAGCGCCATATAACGTACAGCCTGTCAACTACCGGATTAATAAATCCATGAGCTGGCAAAACGAAGGATTAGTAAATTCCTGAACCTGTTTTTGGAAAGCAATTTTTTTTCTAACATCAATGTATCAATATATACAATTTATATTTAAAGGAATAAATAATACTCTTCCGGTCCTTAATATAGGACCCAATTCTTGAGTTGGTTTTGGTCTTAAATATAAGACCCATTTCTCATATTTATCAATTTTCTCTAAACTACCCCTATAGATACTCTTTCAACCATAATCAAGTAGAAGAGGCGGAAAGGGTATTAAAAAAGATGATTATGGTGTTTTAGGAAAAACATGTCACATTTTTTATAATTAACTAACTTAACTAACTTCCTTAATCTAATCAAATTAGTTAAATGAGTTTTATATTAAGTACCGGAGGAGTACTTAACAATCCTATTACATTTTAAAATCGTGCATTTTAATATTTTTTTCAAAAAATTGGTTTTCCCATGCAACAGCTAGTTCTTCAGGTAATTTTACTGTGTTGTAAGTCCAAATTTAGTTGAAAGACAAAATATGTGATCTAATAATGCCAACAACAATGCAACATGGGGGCGTAGCTCATATGGTAGAGCGCTCGCTTCGCATGCGAGAGGTACGGGGTTCGATTCCCCGCGTCTCCAAGTGTTTTGAGGGCTACAATTTCGTCCTTTTCCTCCACTCTTATTTTATGGAGGAAAAAAGGGTTTTTGGACCAACTTAAGGATATTTAAAGGCTATTATTTCTTCGGCCTGCGGTATTCTGTGCTGTAAACCAGCTCAATTTGTGAACTGAGGTACATCATGATAAATTAATTTAGGGGCCTTCTTAACATGCACTGTAATTAAAATACACACATGGTTTGGTTAATTAGTATTATTAATTAATTATAAGCATAAATTAATTTAATTAAAATAATTAATATTAATTAATAATATACTCAAATTAATATTTTTTATTGTAACGAATCAATTAATTTTAAATTCAAATCAAATCAATTCTTAAATTATATAAATATGCATAATATTAAAATAAACCTCTTTCTATGTTGGAATACCGAATTTCATTTGGTTCTTGTAATTATCGGTTGCTTGGCTTTGGTTATTAGTTCCAATAGCAATTGAGGCGCATATTGTTGGCCTTGTGCTGCAATAAAGGTAGTCTTATGTGTAATGTCCAAAGATTATGTAAGCATAAACTGCTATCTTAAGATTAATAGCATTCCAGGTGTCTGTGATGGAGATCAGCTACAGCAATCAACCCAGTGAAACGTGTAAAGATTATATAAGCATAAGCTACTTTCTTCGTTCAAACGACTTGCGACCGATGCAGTTGATGTCAGCAAAGAATAAAAGTAGTTTTGACAAAAATGCGTCAAGGTAAATCCTTAAAAATAAAAGTACATCGATAAGAGGTGAGACATTGTACGTACGGTACGGTACGCACAATTGTCTCAAGTCTTGTTCACCCTGAAAGCATCAAATACAAAGAGTGCTAAAAGAGTTTGTTCTGGTTACTGACTCCACTCGTTCGAAAGAAATTGCTGTTATGTATGAGGAAGAAATTGTCTGAGAGCACAAGTCCTCATCAAACTGCCTTTTGACAAATATTTCAATATTTGAACAACCCATCAGACTTGTTGGCTCTACCAGACAGGTCGTCGGCCTGCCCATGAGAACCGAAGGTTAGCAGCCGACCAAGGACAAGGAACACAATCAAATTAGACAAGCTTGACCGACCATCCCCTTCCTGTTTTTGGTGGTCGACAAAAAAAAATCCCAGACGCACCATACATCTTACAAGTAATCCAACAACCACAGACTGTTTTGGATTACCTTGACAACTAACAGGATCACCACATCATGTCAGATATACACTGTCCAAAGCAGCGAAACCAGCTGCAACTCCACCTTCATCAGATGACGATATTTTCGTACGCATCAAATAACCACTTTGTTCATTCAGGATGACTTTATCTCTGTTCCTGCAAATTGAAGCTCATTCAGCGTTAAGCACCACACAAATTTAAGAAAGGATGAAGCAGTGATTCATACATAGCCGAGCTATATACCTCAAATAAGTGCCAAATATTCCAAGTTCTGATATGGCATGATTCTTATGACAACAGCCACTACGCATAATAAATGTTGCAAAACTAGTTGGAAATATCCTCTGCATAAGGATGTAAGCTGCGTCTTCTTGAGATCCTGCTTTCTGCAATTTTATGAGGGTGTCCCTCACTGCACCGCCATAGATATTGTTTCCTGAAACATAATTACAGCCCCTTGGGTAAATTCCCTGCCTCACTTTTTTATTTCCTGCAACAAGGTCAAAGAGTCGACAGAACAGAAGGTTGAAGCAAGCTTTAAAGAGAAATAAGACCTCCTCCTTCTCGCTGGGGCTTCATTACAAATAATTCTGGCCTTTCTATTGCTCTTTTAGTAATATCCGATTCATCCAAACTCCACAATCCTGCAAAGCATTTGCGCAGTTTGACAATGTCATCTTTGTTTTCAAGGTACCTGCTTGCAGTATTGACTCAAAAGTTAGGGAAGTGATATCAACTGGTGAAACAAACTCTATTCAGCCAAAATATCCAAATTAATCAATAAGCTACTCAGTCGCTAAGACAGAAACGGAAGGGGGAAAATCATTCTTTTGCTTCTGTACACGCATTATATTTGATTTACTTGACATTCATCGAAAACAAAATACACTCAGCTTATACTTTTTTCTACGAAGTAAAGTGCTGAGGTGAGGATAAGTCCATCCAACAACTTTCCATTTCTAAGGCATTAACTCAACATTCTCAGCTTTACGTGGGAAGTCTCACAAATCATCCCATCGGTTACAATATCTGTGTACTGGTCATATGCTTTCAATTATGAATAGTAAAATCTTGCTTGGAGAATGGGAGTGTAATAGACTACCTCTCAAGAACGCCGGGTTTTGCAAGTTCCTGTTGGATCTTCTTTGTGCCAGCCAAATGATAAGATATCGATGGGCATTTGATGGCAGAAGATTTTTCCATTAGTAGTCTAGCCCTCCATTCCTGCAAATTGAGCAAGATATGCAAACATAAACTCAACTTCTCCGTAGAAGCCCCTATTCCAGAGGATTATGTAAAAGCACCAGATGACAATAAAAGAACTGCCAGATCTGATTGATATAGGAAGAATCATAAACACGCAGAAAAGTTTGCAGAATGCACCTCTATTCCACTAAGTGTATGTTTAGTCACTAGTTGCCTTCCCAAGAAGATTAGGCCTTGTGAAGTTCGGTTTTTAAAGATCCTCACAGTCCCAGAATGATCTGTTTAGCAATATGAGCTAGTTTTAACTAGTGCTTGGTTTATTTTTTGTAATTCACAGAGGAAATGCTTTGCGATCTCTGGTTTTGGTTGATGTGCATTCTAAAGTAACCCTTTCTAAAAGGTGGCCATCTATTGTTCTTATCAGCCTAAACATCATATGTGTGTGTTTGTTTTTGTGAGCAATATAATTTTACCGATTTTTCCACAAAAAAGTATTAAATGGTAATTGCATCTCCTAAGTCGAGCTAGTAATTTTAATATATTTTGGGCACTGTAGTTATGATCTCCATTGGGCTAACAATGCCTAAGGTTAAAGAACAGATGTTTCAACGCTGGAATGGAACAGTTATTATGAGCAGCGGAAAAGTGCAGTGTAGATGCTCACTGATTCTGAAGGATAGTCGAGTGGTGTGTACCCAGCCCTGAAGTAAATGACTGCAATAGCTTGTCCATCCCTGTACGTGTCAGGAAATTAGATTTTTCAACGGTCAGAATGCAATCATGTCCCAAATCCAGAGCAGGGAAGTCACTTTTCCAATGGCAAAAGATACATACACAAAAAGTTTTCCATCAGGAAGAAGTTCCGCCTCTTGATCAATTTGAGCCAATGTTTTCCGCACAGATGTAATATGATGTGTATTAAAAAGCTGAGGAAAATACCTCCAGTCTAAATGATAGATTTTCTAAATTGTTCGGATCAATTTTTGAAATATGTAATGAATGTGCATTGTTGAACAAAGTTGATGTAGGAAGCAAGAGAAAACTACTAAGAACAGGATATCTTTCTCTCAGGGCTAAAGAAAGCATATGTTGGTCATACATGTTCCGTTCATCAGCCTGAACCACAAACATTATTACAGCTCTGCACAGATCCAGTGAAAATTTCTCTTGCGTAAGTTATAACACAGCATTTAAAAAAGTAGCAGAAGAAGCAAATGAGGAAAATATTTCTCCAAACTTACCTAGGGTCATTATATTCACACCATGCTTTAGCCAATGCGTCTACAAACTGATTGCAAGCAGTATTGGAAGGAATTCTGTCGGAATTTAGACCAAGCAATTCTCCATAGTGGGAAAGCATGTTTCTGAGTAAAAACCAACCAATATGATGATGCCTTCCAATAATCAACTTCCTTTACTTAAATAACAACACTTAAGAAGTTAGAACTTCTATGAACAGGCATTGGACATTATTAATTAATATCTGCGAATCATTTATGAAACCCTGAAATAAATTCTAATTTGAAATCACCTAACAAATTCCTAATGTATCTCTAATACGAATTAAACTGTATTTACCATGAGAATTATCATATTTTTAACTTATAAGGACCCACAGCTGCATCAAAATAGAAAAAGAGAAATAAAAAACATTATTAAAAGATTCTAAATTAGAAACCACACATGCACACTTACTTATGAAGCTCAGTCACAAGTCCACCAAGACCAGCAAATGAAGATGAAATGGTGTTCAGTTCAATTTGCAGAAGTGCTTTGGACTGTTCATCAAGCATATAATCTGAACGGTGTAACCCCAAGCATATTCCCTAACAAATTATTGCAAAAGGAAAGGGTAAAAAATATTGGTTACTAACTCTGACTGACTGATGGAGAGTAACCTGCCTGCACCTTCATCCCAGCTTTTGCTATATTAATAATATGCTTGATCATAAACTAGATATCATGCGAAATAAACAAATAATAAAATAATTCAGTTTTTTTACTCTCTTGAGCCAATACGTGTTCCTATGACATAATATTTAAAATGCCCGTAATGGCATAACTAAAGAAGAAAATGACAATCTTTAACAAATTTGGTTCCAATGCACTGTCAATCTACACTCACCTCTTTTTTGTTAAGCTCTAGCATCTTGGAATGAATATCTAAAAGTCTGGAGGTAAATTCATCCACTTTCTTAGTTCTGCGTAGTGGGAAACAGACAAATAATATCAAATGATAAGGCATAAACAGAGATAGACTAGAGTAGAAAGACCATATTTTGGTAGCTAAGCTAGAATGACAAATATATGATGGCAGGCCAAATCGACAAGAATTAAAAATGGTAGAATTGTGCGAGGTAAATCACACAGACAATAAGTGAATGTATACGCTCACAGACATCTAATGCAAATTGTTCTTCACAATTTGAAAGGTAAAACAAAAAACCCAAGAATCAGTAAATATAGTAAAATGCCCATGGAATGCAATCTCTCATACAGCAAAATCTAGAGTTGATCCCAAGACCAGCTGAACATGAAAACTGTAAAAGAATAATAACACAACACATAACATGTCTCTAAATAGGTAAGGAGGGGGGAAAAGAAGACCTGGAGAGAGAGTCCTGTAGAAATTCTCCATCTTGACTCACTCTGTCAACTAGCTCATTAAATACTGGGGCTAACTCACACGCCTGCTTCCAGTGACTTCGGGGGAATGATGCGGGGAACAACGTAAACGGCGCATGAACCAAGCCCACGCCAGGAACACTTCCTGATCTCTATAATTCTAAACAAGCTGACATCAAATTCAAGAACTAACAAACAAGATGAGACTATTACAAAGGGCAGTGAAATAATGCATTGTTCTAACGATCCAACAAATGTGAAAAACTCTTTATTTTTCACATGACAGTCACCAAGCCTCGCCAGTGAACTATGATTCCTTATCAGAAAATCAATACTTTATAGAGTACAGAATTCAAATGTTCACAATATAATATAATATATTCAGTCAACGTTTCTTGGTATATCACTGAAGACAGTAGCGGAAAAATACGATTGCTTATGGAGACTGAGAAGTATTGGGAAGAGGGAAGTGAGAACTACATTGGAAACGGACCTCAACAGATTTATCACCAGTAACAAGGCCATGAAGCGAGCTCCATACTAGAGCGTCATAAGCAATCTTGTGAAGTAACTGCTGATCAATAGCATGATAATCGGAAAGAGGAAGGGTGGCAGTTCCTTCGATATCGCCATGCTTCAGAGGCAAAATTGGCGGGCAAGAAGCAGCAGCCGATAGCTGAGACATGATCTTGATGGGCTTACGAAAGCGAATAGAGCCGGGTTTGAGTGAACTAAGAAAAAGAAGGTGATTTTGAGTCTGATCTGACGCAGAAGATACTAAGAATGCGGAATAAACTACTGTTGCCTTTTCATACTTATTTTTGGTTTTGCCAGCTTTGTCTTCTGTCCATACAGCGATGAAAAGATCAAACGAAGATGCGTGTCCTTTTTTTCGCTGTTTTTTTTGCCATCGAAGAAGATGCTGGTCATGCGCCAAACTGAACTCGAATTCCTTAAATAAAGACGTGGTGTGATTTTCTTAAAATAGTTTTATATTGATACTAATTTATAAGTTAAACAAACTAAATTAAAAAAATAATAAATGAAGGATTGATAACATTTTTGTTGGGAAAAAAAAACTTAGATGAAGTTTATTATATGTATCATATTAAATAGGGGGAATTTCACTGTAGGACCGCAGAAGACAAATAATCTCAAAGAGCCCTCAAAACTTTCTGAAACCTCACTGCAGGATCAAGGGACCAATCTGATATTAATTTTTAGAGTGAGATTACAATAATACCCCTCCCTTTTTATTTTATTAAAAAATAAATATTTACCGGAGTTACTGTTCCAGCCACCGGAGGTCGGAGGTCTGGCCACCGGCGCTCAGGTGGCCGCCATCGGGTCCGGTCACCGGTGGCCGGAACAGTAACTCCGGCGAGACCTCCGGTGGCCGAAGTTTTTTTTGTTTAAAACAAAGTGGCCAAGGGAGGGTTTGAACCCAGGATCCCTTGGCACACCAAAAGACTTGTAACCACCAAGCCAAGCAACCCATTCAATCATAACATTCAAATAAAACTATATATAACAAAATAAACGCAACAGTCCAAATGTATATGAACAAGTGAAATTAGACGATTTACAAGTATAATTCAGAAATTTGCAACAAAAATTAGGCAATTTACAAATAACATAATAAAAGTCATAACCCAAAATGCAAGTATTTAAGTGCAAATGAGCAAGTAAAATTTGAAGATTTACAATAAAAGTTTATGGATTTACAACCCAAATTTAGCAAACACAAGAGAATTCACAACCAAAAATGTAAGTGTTTGAGTGTAAGTGAACAAGTGAAATTAGACGATTTACAAGTGTAATCCAGCAATTTACAACAAAAATTAGACAATTTACAAATAACATAATAGAAGTCATAACCTCAAATGCAAGTGTTTAAGTGCAAATGAGTAAGTGAAATTTGAAGATTTACAATAAAATTTTATGGATTTACAACCCAAGTTTGATAAACACAAGAGAATTCACAACCCAAAATGTAAGTGTTTGAGTGTAAGTGAAGAAGTGAAATTAGACGATTTACAAGTGGAATTCAGCAATTTACAACAAAAATTAGGCAATTTACAAATAACATAATAGAAGTCATAACCCCAAATGCAAGTGCTTAAGTGCAAATGAGCAAGTGAAATTGTCGAATTTCACTTGCAAATCTATAAACTTTTGTTGTAAATCTTCAAATTTTATTTGTTCATTTACACTTAAACACTTGTATTTGGGATTGTGAGTTCCATTATGTTATTTGTAAATTGCCTAATTTTTGTTGTAAATTGCTGAATTCCACTTGTAAATCGTCTAATTTCACTTGTTCACTTACACTCAAACACTTACATTTTAGGTTGTGAATTCTCTTGTGTTTGCCAAATTTGGGTTGTAAATCCATAAACTTTTATTGTAAATCTTCAAATTTTACTTGCTCATTTGCACTTAAATACTTGCATTTTGGGTTATGACTTCTATTATGTTATTTGTAAATTGCCTAATTTTTGTTGCAAATTTCTGAATTCCACTTGTAAATCGTCTAATTTCACTTATTCACATACATTTGGACTGTTGCGTTTATTTTGTTATATATAGTTTTATTTGCATGTTATGATTGAATGGGTTGCTTGGCTTGGTGGTTACAAGTCTTTTGGTGTGCCAAGGGGTCCTGGGTTCAAACCCTCACTTGGCCACTTTGTTTTAAACAAAAAAACTTCGGCCATCGGAGGTCTCGTCGGAGTTACTGTTCCGGCCACCGGTGACCGGACCCCGACGGCGGCCACCTGAGCGCTGGTGGCCGGACCTCCGACCTCCGGTGGCCGGAACAGTAACTCCGGTAAATATTTATTTTTTAATAAAATAAAAAGGGAGGGGTATTATTGTAATCTCACTCTAAAAATTAATATTAGATTGGTCCCTTGGTCCTGCAGTGAGGTTTCAGAAAGTTTTGGGGCTCTTTGATATTAATTGTCTTCTGCGGTCCTACAGTGAAATTTTCCCTATTAAATTCTCCAATCACACATAATTATATATATTATTTTATGTAAATTTATAATTAAATATTATTAAATCTTAATATTTTAAAAATAAGACATATCACCACCATATATGATCGAACAACATAAGTAACTTGATCCATAAGTGTTTTCTTTTGCCATAAATACGTGGATAACAATAACATACTGCATGTGACATGGCACCACGCATCTCCGTTTTCCGTATAGGCCTTTTGGGGAGGCACGATTTGAGAGAACCAGGCAGCCCAACGGCTCATGTGCTATCCTGTGCTCTTGCGTTCTCACTTCTCGTGCGCTGGACGCTGGCGCCGTAGTGGCGTCGTCTTTCATTTATTTATTTAAAAATTAAAAGAAAAGTTCGGCATGCGCGACTCCTATTGAATTTGGCGTAGTGGGTTGGTTAAGAGACTGACTAATTGATGATTCTTTGTTTATTGGGCCTACGGCCTCGCCTTCGCCATATGAATGTAGCATTATTGGGCTAGAGCCCATAGCCACGTGTGCTAAAAATCCAAACCGGTGACGATTTGCAGCGTTATATGGAGGGAAAATGCCCTTTTTAGCAAAAAAAAAAAAAAAAGCTCTGTTTGAGACCCGTAGTTACCCATTATTTCCAGGGGAAGGAATCTTTTTTCCTGCGTTAAAAGAAATAATCGAAGACTTTGCAAACACACATTCTATTTGCCTTCTCTTTTACTGGTAGAGATAGCCTCGGTAAAATCAGAATAATACTACCTCTAATTTTTAATATAAAAATTAGTTGATTAATTTAAATAAATTAAAAAAAATTAGTTAAGTTAATTATTTATAATAAATATGTGTTGTCTTTCTTAAAATGCTCATATTAATCAAGTGTATTAACTAAAACTATCATTATTACAAGAACTATATTGAAAAAAATAGATAAATATAAGAGATAAAGTGAATTAGGATCTTATATTTAAAATTAAAACAAAGTTACCTACTCGAGTTAGTAAAATAAAAGGAGAGAAATCCTTGTAAACTACTGCTGTACATTTTTACATGAAATGAAAGTATTCCTTTTCTTGATATTACGAACGACGTCAACGCTACGAAATTGATTTCTCGTCCAGATTAGATCTGACTTTCAGAATTGGTCGTAGAGGCTTAATGTCTTCCTGTTCTTCTTGTTGCTGCCGCTCCAGAGAATTCGACTTTTGGAAAGATTTGCTCCTATTCTTCTTCTTCTTCTTCTTACTGTCGGTAATCTCCTCCACGTTGTCATTAATGCTGACCGTCTTCTTCGGAGCTTCCCTTGGAGGTACCGTTTTCTCTTCTCCGTTCATGTTCATTCCTGCACCGTTCTTCTCTCGGGCCTTCTGCTCCTTTGTCTCTGGCTTGACCACTGCCTCGTCTTCTCTACAAGTCTGAACCTTGGCTGAGCCGAACTGTACGGGACGCCCTAAAGTCACCGTCTTCGATACTTGGGACATCAAGGTTTTCACGATAAAATGATAGATCCTGTAACAGATGCCTAAAGATCGAACATGAGGTTCTCTCTGGTCCATCTGATCGCTTCAAATCAATCCGACGATAAATATGAGAATAATGGGATGATGGTATCTAAGGGGAAGGGAAAGACATATTATTGATAAATCTCTCCGTAGTGCTGAGATATAGAATATAAAGCCTGCAAGTCAGTGGATAGTTGAATCTCTCCGCAAGAGATTCATTTCTTTTCTTGCAAGGAATGTTATATTAGTGGCCCCTAAATTTATCTTTATAAGCAGGGTATGCTAATCGTAAAGGCGGAGCGCAAGAATTCTCTTCTGCTTAGACCCAGGTAAATATGGATTGAGAGAAAGGACGACAGCACAAAACCGGCTTCAACTGACTTAATTCTGAACAGCTATTAAGGCAAACAAATCAATAAATGACTAATCATTTATGATCATCAGTAATAGGCAGTTTCTTTTTATACTCAGCCAACCTCAACGTTTCAATCGGATATCGTGGGATAATGGGGAGATAAAGAAATTTCAGGAATACTTATTATTTTAAATTATTTTGGATCTTTTCTAGTGATGTTATTTAAACTGTCGATAGGATTCAATTTATTTTAAATATTTGATGAGATTATAGGAGTCGAATAAGGAACCATCTCGTTGGCAATAGATATGTTACTATTTATCTGTTAAAATCAATCCCAAGATTTTAAGGATTATTTTTTTAACATTATTCAGTTATTTTTCTATAATTTCAGTCTATAAAATAAACCAGCTTCCTATCATGAAAGAGCGATATGTCATTTCTTTTTCTTTTTTTTTTTTTAAATCTCTTTTATAGTAAATCTTCAGCTAGTAAAGGAAAGTCTTTTGAATTACTTGCTTTTTTTTTTCTGTTCTTTATTAATTTATGAAGTTAAATTCTGATTTCATATTAAACTAAAATCAAAATATTTTTCTTCTTTCTTCCCCCGCCCCCCTATTTCTTTTATCCTTCCCTCTCAAAAGAATAAATTCACGCACGCATATGATAATGATATGAAACGGTAAACACACTCATATCTCATGCTCTCATCATGCTTATTGTACCCTTCTTCGTTGCGAGCAGAAATCGAATATAAACGGAAATGAATATGCACCAAATTACCGAGTATGGCCTTTCATAAACACCCAAGGATGCAAAACACCGGTGGTTTGGGTGAATTGGACGGGACTGAGCATCCATTTCGTCCAAGATTGTGAGTTCGGGATAATTGTGACCGTCACGCTGCCCCTTCGCCTATGTTGACTTCCCTTCAGCCTTCCTCTTGTTTCGAGGCTAAACGAATTCGTTTGCCGCAACTTTTCTTGTCTGACGTTAAATTCCAGTTCGCCGCGAGAGGATAATGGACATAAAAAGAATAATACTAACATTTTAAATCCACAGTAACTAGATTTTACTCAACGAACAAAATTGGGGTGTGGTTTACAGCTGTATTCGATTTTATTACTCGGTTTCAGTGACAAATCAACGTAATAGTACTCCCGTCTATAGTACAATTTGGCATCTTCCAAACAGAGCTATGCCGATATACGTCCACACAAGCGCCAGTATGCTCCAGAGTGAAATAGAGACTTCTCAAATACCCAGATATCACGGACAAGAACCTGGAAAACATAGAAAACAAGCAACTAATGCAAGGAAAAGGTAGCATCGGTCTGGAATAAAGAGAAACGGATCCAATTGGGAGAAGAAAAGCATGTTGCGCACAACTTCAATATAGCATGCAGTTCCTATTATCTTGCTGATTTCCTTTATAATAAAGGGGTATTCTTCAAATATAAGTCGCGACAATGGCACAGAGGGGATGAAAATCCGAAGAGTTCCCTTCCATCCAACAAATACGCAACTAAACAGAAGAATAAACACCATATTTTCCCTTTCTGATTTAAAACATTATCCTCATTGACAGAAATTAACAAGGGATGCAATAGCTGGTAACATCACAGGCAAGAAATTTGAAAAAAAACCGAAATATTACCTCCTTGTCTTTGTCCCCGGCTACAACAGTGCCTTTTGAGTCATATGCTTCAAATTTCTACAAGGAATGTAACACAAATTTCATTGGTTTGAGTACCAGAAATCTTACAAGTTGTGAAATCAAGTGGTTTCTGGATTCTAAAATATAATCAAGGTTTGAGTGTGAGCGTAAAGCATACATGCTTAGCCAAAAACTCAAGAGTAAGCTGAATGAACAATTTATTGAGGTCATTTCGATCAACACCAATCTGCAAGTGATAACAAGTGTAAAAGTCATTAAATAGGAGAGGGAAAAAGGACTTTAGGACTCTATCAAGATAAGGGTGCAATTTAACGTCATATATAATCCACTCATCTGCAGTGAAACATCCTATTCTCTAGTTGCATTATAAACACATGGAAGAAAAAGCTGCCATACAGGTGGTGGTAGTAGTAGAAGAAGAATAGAAAAGTAAAGAAAAAGGAGCTCTAACCAGACGAGCACGTAAAGTTCGGACTTTAACAACTGGTTCGACCAATTCCCAATACACCTTGCTCCATACAGTTTCTCTTTGTTTAATTTCATTCTTAAGTGCCTGTTGATGAGAAAATCAAATATAAAATCTCACGAGTCAAAGTACATTCTCTTTAGAAGTTATGTGACATAAAAGAATCCATCATTGAAAGAAAAAAAATCACAATAGGATTGCAGTCAAATGGCAGCTGAAAGGAACTGCAGCTTACAGAAAACATGTTCTCAGTAACCGCTTTCCTTAATGAATTTTTGTCTCCATTAGCCATTAGTGTGTTTATCTGAGGACAAAAATGAAAATATCAGCATCGAGCCAGATAAAAGAAAACATAGAAATAACCAAGAGAAAGGTCAGAATCTATGTAAAGATGCGTGCTACAAGGCAAAAGAAGGAAACTATTATGAGCTCATGATAATCAATGCACTTTGTTCAGTTTCCTGGTCTTTCTCTTCAATAACATCCCTTCCATATAAATATATTATACAATCTTTTCATGGTTTTTATTGCATAAGTTACGTACACGAAATGAATAGAAGATTATAATTAAATGGCACTGTGCCTCCAAAAATTGTAATAATCGGTAAGACTTAAGAACATAATGGCAACTAACCTCCCTGTACATGGTGACGGCCTCATTGTAAAATTGCCTTTTTGAGTATCCAGTTTTTCTCAACTTGGCTATAGCATAAGCACTTTTGAGCTGCAGAAGAAAAGAAAGAAATTTTATTCAACCTTTAAAGTAAATTCAGTCTGCATTGAAAGAAGTAAAAAATGACCTACGGCTCAATGTCTTCAAAGGTAACTTCAGTACTTTATCAAAAAGGAAAAAGAAGAAAGCAATAATCAGACATATTTCTTTGAAATCAAAGCAAAACTGAAGGAATTTGAATAAAAACTCGGATTGAGGGACATATTTATGGCATTAAGCTAACATCTGTAAAAGTAAGAAACAAAAGCTTGGAAATTTTAGATAGTTGACATGCAACAGCACCTCCAAAATTATATCATCTTTGGTTCTTCTCCAACCACTTCTTGTGAACCATCTGATACATGAAATGTCAAAAGTGTAAATGCTACGTAATAGTAATACTAAGGGAAATAAACAGTGCAAACTAAACTAGTGTAGGGAGTCATCATCATGGGGTGAAAGAAAACTAATTTCTCGTTAAGCTGATAAGATTGATGATGTTAGATGCTGACTAAAGAGTGGGGGAAAAAATTGCTATCCTGAAATTTAATTGCAACGAACAAAACTTCTTCAGTAATAAATGCTTCATGTAAGCTTTGACAACAGCTAATTCAAGGGAAATCCAATTAAAAAATTTGAACAAATGAGGCTTAACCTCTGCCAAAATGAGATTGGTTCGCGAGGTGCATATGGTTCATAGACAAATCCAGGACTGGACATGGAAACTTTAACTGCTCCCTGCATCAAAGATATATATTACCCAACCATCAAAATTATTATGTAATTTGAAAGGGATTAAAGGCAGCTACAACAGATCTTTCGTTATTCATTAAAAATACTGGGACCATGAAACAATTATACGCACAGCAGATAATTTCCAAGTGTTGGATAAAAGAACTGCATAAACTTCATATAATCCCATGCCAAGTTTATTTTAGAGAAGGTACATACAGCGTAAGTGCCAACATAAGGTATATCAAGGTCAAAGTCGTTAGAAAGCTTCCTATGCAACTTGCCAAATTAAATGATCATTTGCCACACATAGTATCAAAAGTGTCAAGAATGAATTACCGCTCAGTCAACTTTCTTGGTATGTCTCAATAATGAATCATATGCCGCATTTCTTACGTTCATGTTTCATATGATCTCCCAGAATCTAAGAAAACATTTCGTACATGGAATCAAGTTTTGCAGAATTGGAATGGGAGTGTAGCATACATAGTTCAATTTGTGATTGTGGTGGGGAGAAAATGGGGATAATAACACTAGCTGCATTCTGCAATCATAGGCAAGATGCGATTCCGTAGAGGAAATATTTGCGCAGTCTCACTTATTCGGGGCTAATAAGTCCTTCGTTGACTACAGAACAAGATGGGAACAAGGCACAACCACCCTCCATTACATGCATAGAAATAACTATACATATATGCATATAAAATTAAACATGATAAGGATGCATATATATTCAGTCCCCATTAGTGGAGGCAGGATATAATCCCCATTCCACCGAACTAAATTTACTCTAAGAGCTAAGATGAGTAGTGACTTAAAGCGAACAGAAGGATCAGTGGACTCCCAAGTGAAAAGTTCCCAATTCCTTCATAACGGAGCTTCCAGCTCACTTTTAGCATTCCCACAAAGTAAATCAATCCAATAATTTTAAGTGGTCTATAAATACAAAAAAAAAAAAAAAGCACAAAATGCTTCTTCATTATGAAAAGAAGATGAACAGTGATAAGATATCACACCATTTTTCGTGCTTGTGCAGGGGCATTAGCTTGGGTAGTTGCCAACCTCCTCTCATTCCTAAAGATGGTCAACTCAGCAACCTAAGAAAGTAACTACAAAATTAGGAAGCCCCTGGTTTTTTTCCCCCTTTTAATGTGATCTGGAACTGGAATAGACAGTGACTTTGGTGTGTTACCATGGCAGACCGGACTGTCAAAGTTTTACCACTAGTCCGGGGAAAGGCGTTATGGCCATTGTACAAGTTAGAAGAGAAGCTCTTGAGGCTGAAACTAAATTTAAGACCTGATCAAGCAGAAATACTCGAATGTTGAAAAATCTGAAGGCATTAGAGCTACAGAAAAGCATAAAATTAAAATCAGACAGCAAGTTTTCGATGAATTGAGG